GTAGATACAATTAAAACCTTATTACACTTGGGTCTGAGTTTTAAATATTGGAGTTTTATGGGGTTTTTTTTTTTTTATGTAGATACAATTAAAACCTTATTACACTTGGGTTTGAGTTCTAAATATGGGAGTTTTATAGTTTTTTTTTTTTTTATGTAGATATAATTAAAACCTTATTACAATTGGGTTTTAGTTTTAAATACTGGAGTTCTTTTTTAAATCTGGATACAATTAAAACCTTATTACAATTAGGTTTTAGTTCTAAATATTGGAGTTTTATAGGTTTTTTTTTTTTATGTAGATATAATTAAAACCTCATTACACTTGGGTCTGAGTTCTAAATATTGGAGTTTTATAGGTTTTTTTTTTTTAATGTAAATATAATTAAAACCTTATTACAATTGGGTTTTAGTTTTAAATACTGGAGTTCTTTTTTAAATCTGGATACAATTAAAACCTTATTACACTTGGGTCTGAGTTCTAAATATTGGAGTTTTATGGGGGGGTTTTTTTATGTAGATACAATTAAAACCTTATTACACTTGGGTCTGAGTTCTAAATATTGGAGCTTTATGGGGTTTTTTTTTATGTAGATACAATTAAAACCTTATTACACTTGGGTTTGAGTTCTAAATACTGTTCTTCCATTCTCTCATGTAAACTAGATGGAAGTTTACTGTAAGACGTTAGATGGAATTTTTTTTACCATAGAGGGCTTGATAATGACTTTCTTTCATTGTGGCTCACTTCATGGTGGCTTACTTCATGGTGGCTCACTTCATGGTGGCTTACTTCATGGTGGCTCACTTCATGGTGGCTTACTTCATGGTGGCTTACTTCATGGTGGCTTACTTCATGGCTTACTTCATGGTGGCTTACTTCATGGGCTTACTTCTTCATGGTGGGCTTACTTCATGGTGGCTTACTTCATGGTGGCTTACTTCATGGTGGCTTACTTCATGGTGGCTTACTTCATGGTGGCTTACTACATGGTAGCTTACTACTTCATGGTGCTTAGCATGGTACTTCATGGTGGCTTACTTCATGGTGGCTTACTTTCATTACTTCATGGTGGCTTACTTCATGGTGGCTTACTTCTTACTCATCATGGTTACTCATGGTGGCTTACTTCATACATGGTGGCTTACTTCATGGTGGCTTACTTCATGGTGGCTTACTTCATGGTGGTGGCTTACTTCATGGTGGCTTACTTCATGGTGGCTTACTACATGGTGGCTTACTTCATGGTGGCTTACTTCATGGTGGCTTACTTCATGGGCTTACTACATGGTAGCTTACTACATGGTGGCTTACTTCATGGTGGCTTACTTCATGGTGGCTTACTTCATGGTGGCCTACTTCATGGTGGCTTACTTCATGGTGGCTTACTTCATGGTGGCTTACTTCATGGTGGCTTACTTCATGGTGGCTTACTTCATGGTGGCTTACTTCATGGTGGCTTACTTCATGGTGGCTCACTTCATGGTAGCTTACTTCATGGTGGCTTACTTCATGGTGGCTTACTTCATGGTGGCTTACTTCATGGTGGCTTACTTCATGGTGGCTTACTTCATGGTGGCTTACTTCATGGTGGCTTACTTCATGGTGGCTTACTTCATGGTGGCTTACTTCATGTGGCTTACTACATGGTGGCTTACTTCATGGTGACTTACCTCATGGTGGCTTACTTCATGGTGAATTACTTCATGGTCTTCACAAAAGAGGTTTATTCAATGACCTTCTGTTAGTTAATCAACTGACTGTCCTCATCCCACATCAGACAGGTCCATAAATGCTCAGATCCCATCTTCAGTATCTCCCTCAGCTCACTGGGACTTCTTCTTCTTCTTCGCGTTCACCAGCTGTACACTCTGGCGAAAGGTTCTGGTTGCTCGTCCACTACTGAACTGCAGTCCTGCTGACTGGGACTGATAACACTAGTTCTGTATTGGTCTACTATTCTTCTTTGGCTATCTGTATAGTGTTCCAGTTCCACCTCTTTTTACATAAGTTCTTGTAAATTACATTGCTACGTAGAGGATACGATGTTGTGACAATTAGTGAGGACTGTTATCATAGCACTCTGGTCAGATCCATAGGTGCTCGAATCTCCTTCTCAATAGTTCTGCAAGAGTGTTGTTCTGTGTTGATTAATCAGACAGCTTGTGCCCCTTTGTGAAATGTTCATATATGGCTTTCCAGAATGCCACCCATGTCTACCAGCCCGGACAAGAATACTGAGTCCTGCTTTTTGTCATGATCTTCTCTGAGATATGCAGCTCACATGGTGTTGATGACATCATTCCTGTCCAGTGCTGGGCTAGTCGTGGTAACCTCCTTGTCTGCCAGATATTCCGCACGATCATTGAATGCCTGCATAGCCTGGCACAAAGGTTAGGCAAGTTATTTGTGAAGCCTATAATGAGAGAGTCCCTTCATATTTGATGAAGCCAGCCTGGATTTTCTTGAGTATATTCACTGAATTTGTTGTTGTTGTTGTTCGTCTATCACAAGTGATCAGGACCACTCTTTCTTTCATCCATCAGGAACTGAATGTTCGTGAGTCCGGAGGTGACTATTAGTCTATTACGTGCTCTGAAGAGTCTAGGACAATGTCTGTAGATAAAAGGCCTGTTTGGCAGGTCTTTCTGGCCCATCTTCACTGCTAAGCTGCCCTTGATCTAGATGCATCACAGGTAGTTGCACCATTTCAGATATAAGTGCCCCATAAAGTACGGTCTTGTGCTGCAGCCTCCCAGGTTTAAGGGTTTATGCTGAATTTGTAGTCACAATTTGATGTGTAAGTACAGCTGTAGCCAATGTATATCAATATTGTGCTATCTTTGCCTGTCCACAAATTTAATATTCTTATTTCAATGTGCTCATCATCACTACTGTTTTCTACTATTGCACCGTGTTATTTTAGAAAACAAGTTATTTATTCTTTAAATTTGAAACCCCTCAAAATGGCTACCCAAAAAATGGTCACCCAGGAAAACCTTTTAACTTTTATCAGCTGAGGCATAGACAATTTTCAAGAGAAAAGTTATAGTAGTACATTAAGTATGCCAAGTAATAGTGCTTCAAGTTTAGATGAAACAAGTAAAAATAAATATGTTGATACTTTAAAAATGTGCAATACAAACCCAAAAAAAAGGAGAACAAAGATATCCTTTGATAGGCATTTCAACAAAGACTTTTTAAAGCTTGGTTTCACTGTAACCTCTGGCATGGCTATTTCTATAGTATTTTCCTAAATTATGTCAAATGATATTATGGCACCTTCCAAATATGCTCATCATTTTCATTCAAAGCATATCAATGTAATTGATAAGCTATGGGGATTTTTCCTAAGTTTACTGGATCAGATGAAAATTCAGGGAAGTCGAATGAAGATTAGTTGCAAAGGTGCCGAACCACTCGTGATGGTGAGCTATCATCAAAGCTCATCCTGATTAATACTTATTTGCACCTCTCCGTGTTTATCCTAGAAACTCCCTGTGCGGGTTCTGGAGCTCTTTTGTGGGGAAATCAAGAACAGGCCCACAGCCTCCCTAAAAATAAAAAAGCATGCCATAAGAGTAAACTAACTGAGAGCTCATGTGAAGTGGGAGTACATCTTCCTCGGAGTCAAGGAGTCAAGGAACCAACAGTCTGCACACACATAAGCCAGATCTTGAAAATGGATGTTCATGACGGCTAGTGATAAGTTATTGCTCAAGCTTCTTGATTACTTGCTCTTCAAATATGTTAAAACAAAATGTTTTTCATTGTTGAGAAGTTAATAAAAACACTGGTATCTTATATATCATATGAGAAATTGTAGGTCCTCAAGCCACTACAAAATTGGAAGCCTTATTGTTTTAGGACACAAATATTCAGAAGAGAATTTGAAAAACAAAAACTATGATAACTAACAACGGAAAGGAACACAACCAACAGTGAACGCCTCAGTTAACAAAGATATATCGGAACAAGTATCAAGTTTCTTTTATCTTAGACACATAATAACAGATAATGACAGAAGTGAAACAGAAATTAAAAACAGAATAGGAATTGCTGAAGCTATCTACAATAAGATGCAAAAATATTGACAGATAGAGAGGCGTAGAACACATTAAATATGAAAATCGTCAAATGTTATGTACACTATACCCTACTGAACTTGGGCAATAAACAGGCAACTAAAAATGTCTCTGGAAACAAAAACAGTCAAACACAGAGGTTGTAGAAAGTGAGTAAAAAAGAGGTTTTGTAAAAGAAATAAAAAATGCCACACTGAAAGGCATAATACTCCTTTAAAACCCGTACTGGAAGCATACAACGAACAGCACTACTGCCCTAGAGCAAGAGGCAGACCGAGAGTACGATGGATAGACAATATATCAGAGATCCTGAGGCAACACAGACTAACAACAACACGTGCAACACACCTGGCCCAGGATAGAAAACTGCGACTCCCCACTACGCTGTGAGGCAATTGTGGACAAGACAAGACAAGACAACACAAGACTGGAAGGAAAATTCGAAGGCATGACAGCATGAAGTAGACAATAAGACAAGTCGGAGGAGAACATCAAGATTTGGATGAACAGCAGTCTGAGAGTGTACAACCAAGACAAAAGATAAGTGTGTTGAAGATAATTTTCAGCCAACCTTCATTCTGGAGATGGCACCCAACTGACTGCTTATTTCTCACATCACAAAAGTTGTAAGTCTCGGTAAACCAACAAACCCACTCACACTGGACACCATGTGACTTTGTAACCCTAGGGTGTCCTGAAATAACAGTTTGATATAGTTGAATAGGGTTTATAGGTTTAGCTCCAGCTAGATTCATATCAGATAGTGGCTATTTGGGTCCCTGTGTTTAAAGCTTTCAGACAGAAATCCTAGATGGGAAATCTGTTTTAAATGTCTCAACAATTATCTCCCAGCATTCTGTAAAATGTACCCTCTAAATTGTTAATCTCATAACCAAGAAAACAAAGGTGCTGACCTTATAATTTAGTGTTATACGTTAAATCTTTAGCATTATTCTCATAATCAGATGTGAAAGCTTCATTTGTACTTCCATATTTTGGTTTGCTAACATCAGTATGTTCACCATTCTTTTCTGGCATTTTCTCGAGTGGTGAACTTGTTACCCTGTTTGGATTTTTCCGCCACAGAGCTGTAACTTCTTCAAATGTTTTTCCTTTGGTCTCAGGAACTACAAAGTAGGTGTACAGGAAAAATAACACCAGTAGCACAGTGAAAGGCAAGAATGTGTAGTCTTTCAGTGCCTCCTGCAAGAAATATAAGTCAGATTTGTAAGGTAGAGTCCTGTGAACAAACCAGGTTCATGCAACAACAACAATAAAATAAATATTCTTAATATTAACCCTTTCTCTCATAGAAGCTGCAAAACCGAAACTTCTGCTGGGTCCAATTTCCAGTAAATGTAACATTTCAGACTCATCTATAGTGACCAGTTTACAGAATGCATAGATAATGTTACCGGCTGTTTTCACGCCTGCGCAAATGTTTAGGACGTCAGGATATGAATATGTTAACAAAAAATATCATAAAGGAGGTTTTCCTTTTCTAAAGCCAAATTGGCGTCAAATTTTCCCACATTGGTAGAAGTCTTGAGGTCACTGCATGATGTCACTTGATACATATGTTTTTAGGTCCTGGGAGTGTATTCCATTTAATGCTTTACCCTGTTTGTGTTTACTGATTACTCACTTTAAAAAAAAAAAAAAAAAGACATTCCAACACACATGAAAAATCATGTGTAGATCAATTACTTTTTTAACACATTCATTAGTGACTTGTGTAAAATCATTTGTAAGGATACTTTCTGGAAGTCTGATGTGGTCATGCCCGAATATTATCTATTTCCTCTCGGCTCCCATTGTCATAATCATTACAACATTAAGTATAGTCTCATGGCTCCGTTGAAAGTGTTTATCCTAACACTAAACACCAAATATGTTATCTTAGGCCATGTGCACATGTGAACTGGCACCTGAGATCATGTCCTCTAAGACTGTCCCAAGAACAACATATCAAGGCAATACTTTTGGCCAAGAGAAACATCTGTGCAAGTCAAACTTTACGGTCGCTGGGTGAATTACAAAAGACAGTAAACTTCATCTAGAGACAACATTGCAGATATAGATAATCTATTTCAAGCGAACGAAAGAAGAAGAAGTTATCTTAGCTCACCTGGCACATTCACTGTAATACTAATAATTATATATGGTGGCCTCTCTTTAAGAAATTCATTGCAATACTAACAAATATTTTCACTGACCATATTTATACCAACATTTAATAACTTTCTGGTCCCACGTAACATGATCATCCCAGCACTAAGCACTATGTTATTCTTCTTCTTCTCCTTCTTCTCTTCCACCTTTTACCCCATCGAAGTGGGGGGGGGGGGGGGGGGGGGGGGGGGGGGGAATGTAATACTATGTTATTTTGGCTTTTTTAATCTGTTCCTAACAAATTCATCACGTATAATTATTATCTCACGTTGTTAGCAAATATCATGAATAATCAGAAAGTAAATGCTTGCGCTGAGCTGAGCTGAGCGCTGACATCATAGCACTCAGAACATACCCATAATGGCTCCAGCCTCATCTTCAGCAGCCAATGAAGAGTTCCAGTGCTGATGGTACCAGTAGCAGTTTGATTATACATACGTCTTGCTTTTCCTTTGGCTGTAAATTGTTGGTCTGATCCCCTGGTCACTCTACGCTGCACATCCTCTGCACACCGTAATGATCTGTTTGTGTTTCCGCATTGTTTGCTTGCTCCTAAGGAACTTTAACCGCATCTAGCTTGTTGTGCGTCAGTTTACCACCCAGTGGTGCAGCACCAGCCAGTCTGTCTGTCTGTTCACTTCTCAACAAACCTGCTTACTCTGGTGAAAAGATCCAAAGGACACTAACTACTAAGGACCTCTCATGCTTGCCTTGCTGTATGCGGCCTGCTCTTTTCCATCTTTCCCAGCATGCTTTGCAAGTCTCCTACAATCCTAACTTTCGAATGTAGCTGGTTTTAAAGCCAGCAGACAGCTGTGTAACTGCCTCTACCTCCATTCTCAAATTAGATGTTGTGGTATTATAGCCCAGTCTTTGTTACACTAAGCTACATCCATCGCTTTTGTAATGAACCCCATGTGCCCTTTTCTGCCTCTGAACACTGAACTATTGTAGAAATAATCATATCACTTGGGCAGGAACTGTCATGAATTAGTTGTTGAACTTCTGATTCTGCAAGGCAGTCCCTGCACCCCTGGGTCAGTGTGATTAAAACCCTAAACAATTCTAATTTGAGCTCTGACTCTGTGATCCACTCTTTTCCTCACTCAAAGTGTTCAAACTTACATTTCTAATTCTGTCTTCTGCTTGCGTTATCCATGACGTCTTTCCTTTTTTTTTTGCCAGCAAGTGGATATTAGCTGTAGCCAGGGCTTCATGAAGGAGGTGCTTTTTTTTTCAGCAGTTTCTCTAGGATATGACCTGGCTTAAAGCACTTTGAATCTATTTGCATTTGGTCAATATTTACAAGGAGATATTGCATAATACTACTGGGCTACCTCTTGGACATCCTATAATCACCCACAAGGCTTCACTCTGTATGCAATAAAGTTTAATTCACCAGCTGATTTTTATAATACAGTCAGCAGTCCAAGTCAATAATTCATTGCTGAGATAATCTTCTTCTTCTACTTTCGTTCGCATGAAATAAATTGTCTATATCTGCAAAGCTGTCTCTAGTATGAATTTCACTGTCTTTTGTAATTCACTAAGCGGCCCGTAAAGTTTGACTTCCACAAGTGTCTCTTTTGGCCAAAGGTTTTGCCTGAAAGCGTTGAATCTGGGACAGTCTTGAAGGATGTGATCTGTTGTTTCAGGTGCCAGTCCACAAGTACACATGGCTGATTGGCCAATCTTAAATTTGTTGTACATGTGGGAGCGAAGTCGATTGTGCCCTGTTCTAAGGCGAAGGATAATGACTTGCTCTGGTCTGTCCATAATATGGTAATCATCTTGTGCCAGTTTCGGTGGCATTCTGATTGATTTGATCATTCTCTTCTTCTGTTGATAAGAGACTGGTATGTCAGGTTGTTCTTCAGTTGCACCTTCCTTAGCTAGTTTATCAGCTTTTTCGTTTCCGGGAACTCCACAGTGGGAAGGTATCCACTGCATTACTAATTTACAGCGGTTGCCTAGTTCGGATAATAGTGTCTGTATGCTTGGTAATTTTCCAGACTGGAGTGACTGAAGTACTGCTTTTGCATCTGTCAGGAATACCACTGGTTGTGAAAAATACCCTATATTTAGTAGTTTCTCTACCGCTATCTTGATGGCTTGAACTTCTGCATCATAGTTGTGACAGTGCTTTCCCGTTGGTAATTTGGCTGTATCCCTGGTATTATTAGGATACTCAATGTACACTCCTGCACCTCCGTTTCTGACTGCGCTTTCTGCTGACCCATCTGTGTAAACACGGACCCAAAGGTTCTTCGGGTATTCATCATCAAGTAGACTGAGGGTGGCTGTTTTGCGCTGCACACTGTTTTGTTCTTCCTTGTCAAATACCCCTTTCACTTCAGTCTTGATGTGTATTGGAAACTTATACTCCTCTCTCCAGGGGGTCCGTTCTGGGACAGCATTTAAGGATCTATCAGTTGCAGGAAAATCAGTAGTTTGTCTGCCGAGCCGTTTGGCCTGGTGGATAAAACTACTTCTCTTTAGTCGTCCCAAAGCTAAATTTTTGAATCTTTCATTCATAGGGTGACTGGGCATACTAAGAAACTTTTCTGCTTGTAAAAGCATCTTGGTGTCTCTGCGTTCACTCAGTGCTTGGGTCATCCCCATTTTCTCCATCACAGCTATAGGTGTTGATTTCATACTGCCTGTGGTAACTCTGAGTGCTTGATTTTGCACTTTATCTAATGCTGAGATAATTAAATGCTAGTCCGCTGCAAATCTTATATGCCACTGGTCTCCCGAAACGGTGACAGAGGAGGTGAAGAAGAAGAGAATAAGTACTGCGAACATCATTCTTTGCTCCATGTCTATTGTTGTCATAAATAAAATGCTTTTATTTGGTAAGTAATTATTGTTCAAGCATGGATGGAGATTGTGACACGTTTTACTGAAAGGCTAGGTTATTTTATGTCACTGAATCATTGTCTGTTTGTGTTGTTAGAAATTATCATATGTTTGTGTTGTTAGCTAGCTGGGTAGTCGGCAGATCAACATCACTGAAAATAGAACCATTCAGTCCATAAGTACTTTAATCCCCTCCTCACTAAATCTGCCAGCAAAGTTGTGGCTGATGGCACCAGTTCTATTTTGACTTAGTATTCTTTTTTGGCATTGTGCTCTTGTTTAGCCACACTCCATTTAACTTGCTGTTATTATCATCTTTCCATGGTTACAGATTCACAGTCCTCACTTGGTTCTTGCACAAGTCCTACTTCTCATACAACAGTCAGTACATCAGCATGCTCCATGGCTCATTCACCCCCTTGTACACCCGCATGCCCTGGCATGAAAATGTGGTTTATGCTGGTGATGTCTTCCTAGCCACAATATTCATTTTATTATTCATTTTTTTTTATTCTACTGCAAATTTAACTAGTTCTGCTTCTTATTTAGATTGATTTGTTAATGTTATTTGATAAGTAAATCATACTGTTTAGTCCAGTTGATTTGTAAATGTTATTTGATAAGTAAAGCATACTGTTTAGTCCAGTTGATAAATTAATGTTATTTGATAAGTAAAGCATACTGTTTAGTCCAGTTGATTTGTTAATGTTATTTGATAAGTAAGTCATACTGTTTAGTCCAGTTGATTTGTTAATGTTATTTGATAAGTAAAACATACTGTTTAGTTTAGCATTTTACAGGCGAACATCAAGTTCCTTGTCAACTAATGTGGGTGATGAAGCCTCTGTACAATTTGTACTCTCTATGAACATGTATCAGTTCATGTCTGACAAACTTCCAATCCATGATAAAAGGTTGTAACAAATATTCTCAAGCTGTCGTCCTCTATTTATATCTTCACAAATCTGTCCATTCATCACAACATATTCCAGTTTCTTTTTTCTTTTTTTTTCTCATACTGTAGCCCCACCAAATGATGACTATTCCTTTCCAGTGTTTGTTACAAGTTGTTTTTTGGCTCTCGCCTCTTTCAAAACATCTGAATTACTCACTTAAAATTATTTGTAGATAGCATGACTTAATCTGTAAGTGGAAATTAATTGCTCACCTGCAAACTGGGGAAAACAAAACCCACAACAAAACTGGATAGCCAATTGACCAACACACATACTGACATGGCAGCTGGTCGTGCATCCTGGGAAAACAACTCAGATACAATCAGCCATGGAATAGAACCTGTAAATGGCAAATTATGATAAACCTTACCAGAATGGTTAATAAATATTTATCATCATCATGTTGCAAATTATTTCTGTCATTTCTAGTTAAAGAGCTAAGAAAAACCAATAGTCAGACAGAGAAAGTCCATAGGGTTTATGTAAATACAAAACTCTGTGCAGTTTCTATGGGAAGTAATGCTGAAGACAGAAAACTGCAATTGCCATGCGTGATTAACTCTTTGAGTTCCAGAGAGTTTAGCATCACAGGCCCAAGGGGTAGTTAAGATAGACGTAAAATAAGCGCATCATGCGTTCATTGGGCTTCTAGAGGAACCTATAAACGTCTAATGCGTTCCTTGGGACAAAGAGTTAATATAGCATGAACTTCAAGACATTGTCCATAAAGGGATATGTGGATGGACCAATGGACAAGCAGACAGGCAAAAAAATGATGGACAGATAGACTGAAAGATGAGCCAATAGACAGATGGATGAATGGAAGACTGGAAATACATATGGATGGATGGAAGGTTAGTCAGATATGTTAGTCAGATTAAAAGATATACAGATTAATGGAGAATAGATAGATGAATGGATTTAATAGATATTCACCAAAGGATGGACAGATGGATGAATGGAAGCATATTCAGATGAATGGATGGACAGATGAACAGATATACAGTTTAATGGCTGGAAGGAACGATGGATAGAGGAATGGGTGTACAGATATACTGATGAATGAATGGAAGTATAGACAGATGAATGGATATACAGATATACATGGATAGATGGATAAATAGATAAATGAAAGGATATACACATTGTTGGATAGACAGATATACAGTTGGATGGAAGGATGGACAGATGAATGGGTATACATATTTACAGATGGATGAATGGAAGGGCAGACAGATGCATGAATTTACATCTGAAAAGATGAATGATTGGAGGATAGAGAATCATATGTATCAATGAAATGTCCAAAACATACAGACAGATGTTCTGTCATATTCTGCATCTCATCAGATGACTAGGACTATGCATGTTATGCAATATTTCATCTAAAAGGATTCATTTTCATGCTCATTTATATTGATAACAATTCAAGTTCATGCATTTCACAAGATACAGTTAAAATTCCAGACACACTCACACATTTTGCAATCTATTCTTTGTGTGTTCTCTGTACCACAAGAGAAGAAGGACAATGGGCCTAAAGTTTACCACCAAAAAAAAACATTACTGAAAGATAGCATCAGAGAAACTATACAGTGGTACAGTTTATGGCTGAAGCGGTCAAGAGAGTGGGAACCAGAAGCTTATATCTTCTTTAACACCTTAAGTGGTAACCAGTTGTGAAGAAGGAGAAGTTTGTTTTCATTATCCAAATTTCCTGTTTGGTTCCCTGCCTTATTCCTATTTGGGGAAAGGGGGGAAAGACCAACTTCTCCCTAACAATCATGTAGTAAACATCAATTTGTTAGGATTTTTTAAAAAAAAGTAGAATTGCATCTGTCTGCACACAAATAAGTCAGACCTGTAAAACAGATGTTCATGCAGAACTCAAGTTCTAGAAAAAAGACTAAATCCAGAAGTATACAAGCAATAAGAATTTCCACAAGAACAAGGTGAAGAATAATTATTTAAAAACAAATAGGTCTCAAATTAGTTCCAAAGTATTTGCAAGTGTTCAATTCCTTATTATTAACAATCCAAGCTTTTGTATTTACACTATTTATTGATAAGCAACAGACAAATTAGGTGACACAAGACAATACAAACAAGACAATGTGGGCAGAACTTAGCTTACCAGGTCCAGTAGCAAAGAAAACAATATATGCAAGCACACAAGCAATGCTGGCAAAGCCGAACCACTCCACTTTGTCCTGTTAAAAACAAAATGGCGGCAGCAATGCAGAAAATTACATTCACTTAACAATATCATAATCTACATATAGTATTATCATCATCTGCTAGTGACTTATCAAGTGGCATTGAGTGTTCATACTTTCCCACATCCCTAGTAGCAGGTATAATTTCATGATGTTGTCAAACAAGAGCAGCAGCTCTGGATGATGATTCAATGCTCAGGGAAAAACATAGGTGGACTTTTAATCTTGTAGTTTGTACTACTAGTGTGGGGACTCTTTGTTGGCTGGTTAGAAATGTGATGAAGCACTTGTGAGAATGACCCAAGTGCAGCGATGTCCATTCCGCATTCATTCATTCATTTATTCATTCTTTCTTTCATCCATTCATTCATTCATTCATTTATTCATTCATTCTTGCTTTCATTCATTTAAGGAATTGAATCAGTATTACTGAGGAACTCTACACATAAATTCTTAAAACATGACAATTGTCAGTGTTTTCTATCTCATCTAGAGGTTATGAATGGCAAAGAATTACGGCATCTGCCCTTTCTAGAAGTACTGAGTTTAGCTGAAGACAGTACTATCTTTCAGTAATGCAGAACAACTAGATGATAACAGTATTATCTCATTTCTGGGTCGGGGATGAGATGCCTAGTATTCTCGGATAAGGTTGAAAATATAAGTGTATGATGAACTGAAAAGTAGGATACTATGAAACTACCAGTATCATCAAAGAAAGCTACTTATCATCATTTTATCATGATGTTAGTTACATTGCTCCATTCAGAATGGCAAGCATTGCTTCAGAGGTCCCAAGTAGTTACCCCCCTTTGGATATTTTCTCCAGGTCATGCTGCTGTGTTGGGGAATGAGCAGGCAGAGAGACTGACCAGTTCTGCACCACTTGACGGTGAATTGATGTATGACAAGCTAGATGTTGTGAGGGCTCTTTGGCAGTGAGTGAATGGTGTGGGGGCACAAATAGATCATTATGGTCTGGGGAGGATGGTACTGCAGGGGGTTACTGGGGGGATCTGGCCGATGCTCAACAGTCAAGGTCAAAGTGAGATGGATGTGCAATCAGTTACTGGTGCCATCAGAATAGGAACTCTTTGCTTGTTGCTGAAGATGGGGACCGAGCGCTTATGGGAGTGTCCAGAGTGCTAAGATGTTGATTCTTAATTCAACATTCAACATATTAAGCATGTGGATGACTACATTGTTTTTCATGAGTTTTATTCCCCCAGGTTTGTTTGCCTTAACAAGAGGATTGTGTCTCTCTTAGTCTAGTTTCTATCCTTTAGCCTGACCGACATCGAGATCTTTCAAAAGCTATACTTCATAGGCATAGTTCATGGGGTCACTCGAACACACAAGATCCTCTATTAGTTCAAGGTAGAGACACCTGTGTGAACAAATCTACTGTAAGGTTATTGCTATCTTTAATGCAACATTCATCATTATCATGTGCTGGGCCAATAAGCTTAGGCTGTCGCATTTACTATCTTATATGATCACCAGAATCATGGGTTAGGCCAGTGTTCTTTCTCACTCTATCCACATGGCTAAACCATCTAGGTTTTCCTCCCCTTGTCTTTGAATCGCTCATCTACCAAAAAGCCTACACTGTCATATTTTGCAATCTCAAAAAACTACCAAAATCATTGATTAGGTAGAGAGAGAGAGAGAGAGAGAGAGAGAGAGAGAGAGAGAGAGAGAGAGAGGTGTGTGTGTGTGTGTGTGTGTGTGTGTGTGTGCGTGTGTGCGTGTGCGTGTGCGTGTGCGTGTGCGTGTGCGTGTGCGTGTGCGTGTGCGTGCGTGTGCGTGTGCGTGTGCGTGTGCGTGTGCGTGTGCGTGTGCGTGCGTGCGTGTGTGTGTGTGTGTGTGTGTGTGTGTGTGTAACCCTATCTCTCTAACTCTCTCTCTCCTCTCTGTCTCTTTCTCTCTCTCTCTCTCTCTCTCTCTCTCTCTCTCTCTCTCTAACCCTATCTATATAACTAAGCCATCTGTGTATTTATCTCTTTGCTTTTCCCTTGCTCGTGTTCTGTCAATCTTGCTATTTATTAACAAGTTCTTCAGCCCATTTATTCTGACAACATGTCTGAAAAACACCAACTGTCTACATCTCATTATTCTTATCAGTGTACCATTTACATCTCTTCTCTCTTGGGGAGGACTGCCTCTTTCCTTTCTCTATCATTCCATGAGAGTCTTTGCATTCTATTCAAAAAGCCCATCTCCACATGCACATGCAGCATTACTTCCATTCAACAGGTCCTTTGCAGAACGTCGCTCTCATCACGGTCTGCCCGAAAAACACTTGGTCTCTCGCCAGATCTTCCACCTCATGTACTTTCATTCTCAAAGAGTCACTTATATCCTGTGCCCATCTTTATGTTGGTTGGCCCCTGCCCCTCCTTCCTGGTACCATGCCTTCTGCTATTATTTTTTCCAATCGGTCACGGCACTTGATATGACCAAAATATTTCAGCTTCCGAGATAAGATACTGTTAGCCAATCTTCCTTGATGTTCAGATCTTTTAAAATGTCAGCATTTCTTTTCTTCATTGTCCATGGTATTATGAGAATCTTTCAATAGCATAATATGCAACATAACTTACCTGTAAAGCCAGTGTTACAGTAATCAAGATACTAAACACGGCCATTCCAGCAAGCCCTGTTAAATGTAATGTCCGGCGTCCCAGCCGATCCATTAAGGGGATTGTCACCACGGTCATTGTCACCATGATAGCACCCACTGCACTGGTTGCATACCTGGCTTTTGATTCTGACCCAATGGCATCACTGAATAGACTCGTGGAGTAAAAGAATACCTGTGAACATAGATGGGTAAAGACATTACTAAACTCTGAAGGATGAAGAGCTGAGTAGAAAAGTAGCTGTGAGTGTAGATGGTTGATGAAGGGTGGAAAATAGAGTTTTGAAAAAAAAAAAAAAACATGTGAGTGCAAATAACTAATGAAATTACTAAAACTTTGAAGGATGGAAAGTTGAGCGCAGGAATATGTGTGAACATAATTGGTTGATTATTGATATTACCTAAACTTTAACTTATGGGATGTTGGTTAAAGTAATATATGTGAATGTAGATAGTTATGACATTACCTAAACTTTAAAGGATGGAAAAGCTGAGTATCCAGTTGAAAAGTCTTTATGAATGCAGACAGATAATTACATCTTTACTTTGAACTCTGGAAAGCTGAGTAAAAAAAATGTGTGTGAATATAGATTGTCAATGACATTACCTACACTTTAAAGAATGGAAACTGTTTGAGTGACAAAAATGAACACAGTGATTAATAACATTTTATCTTTGGTCAGCATATAATTAAATAAACGATACTACCAAGTTGATAACTTCTGTTCACTACATTTTCTTAACTCATCATTGCAGTAAGTGGTTTCCCCGTGGGCAGTTTAATCAATTAAAAAAATATAAAGCCTTTGTGAAACACTTTCCCAGTTGAAAGACTTAATAAGAAAGCAGGAAAAGGGGGGGGGGGGGGGGGGGGGACAGCTTATCCAAAACAGTCACTTGACCACTTAGAATTGTTATATTATGGTTGAGGTAAAGAAAACAGGGTTAGGGGTTGCGAATGTGGCTTGTAATTTCAGAATACCTGGTTCAATTCCATCTGTGTGTGATTTTGCACACGTCTTTGCACTGATTTTGACAGCAGTATCCGGAGCTGACCATTCAGAGGCTGACAAACTACTGAATGTAAAAATTGTCTGGTTAATTCACAAACAGCCAAGAAAGGCTAGGATTGGTTTGCAAAATTGTATAAAGGATGCACAGCTAACTTGTGTAATCCTAAAGAAGACAATGATGAATGTCGTCTGTCAACTGTTCAAAAGATACTGCAGTTACTCACCCCGTTAACACCAGAAAATTGCTGAGACAGCTGCATCACAATGCCAATAAACATGGGGGACCTCAAGGCTGGATTCCGGAACAGCTGAATTATAGAAATCTGTAAAGAACATAGCAGTGAGTTAAGTCTGCACAGGTCAAGTAGTTATCAACACTTAATCAGACTGTAACTACTGCCATCAGAATTGGAGCTCTGATCTTGTGGCTCAAGATGGAGGATAACCAATGTCCCTAGTACCGTGATATTGAGTCTTAATTCAAAATTTAAATCATGTCATTATATGTTGGACTATGATTTTTTATATTGCCATTTATTTTTCAATAGAGCATAGGCTCTCAACAGTTAAGCCAGATTATCTTTTTCTTTCCCAGTGCTTGTAGCTCACTTCTTACCCTACCCATCTTATTTGTTTCTTTTTCTTTTTTCTAAGTATATTTTTTGCATCAGTTTATTTCTCTGACCGGATTTCAGTGTATTTTTGTGAACTCCCTACACCCTACTCTTATTTACTGTAACAAGTGGAGAGAAATTATTCTGTTATGTCCAAGACCTTTTGTACAATAATCCTCAATAGAATTAAAGGGATAACAGGTGCAATACTGAGGCAGGACTAAGCTGGTTTCTGACACAGAAGAGGCTGCTTAGATCAAATAATTATGCTGAAACTGATTATGGAGAATTTTTTTGAAAAACCTCTTCTTTGCAAAAATCACGATTTTAAGAAGACTTCTTATAAGAAGGAACAGAAAGGGTATGCAAAGACAATATTAGACTACTTGTGAAAAGACAAATATTATGAAGATGACACTAACAGATCAAGGGAATGTTGCACTGGAGACAACAAGAATTAAATTAAAAGATCAGTTTACTGTTTTATGAAGCAATTTTGACTGCCGTGGTAATGCAAAGAAAGAAATTATGATACACACTGGTAAGGAAATATGAAAGTCGTTCCCTCGTGGGATGCAATTTTTGTTATTTTGAAGCCCCACCCTGGCTTTTGCCTGGGGCCCTGAATAAAGCCAGGGCATAGATATGGCCTAGCCATAGATGAGGCCTAACGGCTGAAAGGGGTTTCTAGGACCTCTCCACGAGTGATCCTCATCTGCATGGTGGCACTTTGTGTCACTGGGTGTTTATTGCTTGTGTGATGTCCTGGTGGGGGTGCAACTACCTACCTACCTACCACTGGTAAGGAAACAGCAGCTTTTAAAGTTTAAAATTTGATTTGATTTGATTCAAGAACCAACATCACAGCACTCAGGGCATTCCCATTAGTGCTCCGTCCCCATCTTCAGCAGCCAGCGAAGAGTTCCGATACTAATGGTGCCAGCAGCATTCTGATTAAACGCCCGTCTTGCCTTTCCTCTGAGCCCCGAGCATCTGCCAGAACCTCTCGTCACTCCCCGCTGCATCAATCTCACCAGACTGTGGTGATCCATCTGCTCCTCCAAACTGTACACGCTCTCCCACAAGACACTAGCTACATCTGCCTTATCGTGTATTAAAGTTTGAATAAAATTTGGAACTCTAAATTGTGGTCACAATTTTACGTTCATTGGAGGATGTAAGCGTCCACGTTTGGCATTGATAGCATAGTGTTGGCCAAAAAATAGTTCTGATAAGATTCACTTTAGTACTCCGAGGTATCTGATTGTGTGTCAACAGGGGAATGAATAGCATTAGATGTTTTTAAACAAAACTGCTACACTGAAAATAACTGACTTTTTCATCACATGTTGACATCTCTTGCTTGATCTCATTGACTTCATCCTCAATGTCTGCACTGCCTCTCAAGGTCATTAATGCTGTTGTATACACAAAAATGGGAACACAGAAGTAGGAATTATTTAGACGAATGGTGAAAAAATGAAACCTTTAAACATGTTCTACATTAAACATTAAGACATTTTTTTAATATGAGTTTGAAAAAAGTAGACTATGTTTAAAGTGGAGCATGTTAATTTGATTGCTTTTTATAATTTAGTGGGGAAACCAGATTCGACCCCCGGTAAAATTATGGATGTTTTTTTTTTTAATGTTGGGGCAAAATTAAACATCTAAACCTGCACAAAACTGGAATTATAAAAGAGACTGACAAAATGTTTTTATGAATGTTTGAAAAACATATGATAGTACTCCTACAAACAGTTTAACGAATGCTATGAAGGACTTTGGAATACCAAAGAAGTGAATCACCATGACCAAACTGTGTATGGAAGACACTTGTAATTTAGTAATATATAAAAGCAGAAAGTCAGACCAATTTTTAAATAACATCTGTTTTAAAAGCAAGGTGATGCTCTGTTCCCACTTCTTTTCAACTTGGCCCTGGAGAAATTTATAAGGAAATTGAAAGAAGCGTGTACTGTGGGAGAAACTACAAGAATACTGGGTTATGCAGAGGATATCATTGAAGAAAATGAACTTGGGACACTAAAAGCATGACTCTCTTTAAAGAAGCAGCTAAAAAAATGAGACTAGTTATCATCAAGACAAGACAGAAAATATTATAATAACAGGGAAAGGATATAAACTCCGGCCACATGCAAGTTGATAATATGAAAATCAAACGGACAGAAACATATAAGTATTTGGATGCAAACTTCCCCTGCTCCAACGTGTGAGAAGCTAAACAATCTAGAATATAATCTGGAAATAAAGTATACTATGCACTTCAACATTGCTAAAGTCAAAGTTTATATCTCGCAACAACAATATCAATATATTTAAAACCCTTTCAAGACCAGTCATTTTGTATGGCTCTGAAACTTGGAGCACAACTAAAAAAGATAAAGTTTTTATAAATGTTTCAACTGTATGGTTGGGGGTAGTCACAACATGAAAAACTGTATTAAAGGGTCGTGGCATTAGGAAGGTTGAAAACCACTGTAATAAATTATCTATTGGTGTGCTGCTAGTAAATTTCTGACTGGGCTATGAAATCTGTTTGCCCAAACAGTCATCACATTTATACAGGCACCACAGTGTTTATCATTTTATCTTGGAAACAAGTTAGAAGCCCTTTTCTGTTTCAGGTATCTAAATCAGGCTCTATTTTAGAGAACAAAGAATAGACCCACTACCCCCCCCCCCTCACCCCACCCCTTCCTTCCCCTTCCCTCAACAAGAATGCCACAGGAGATGATTATTTAGGGGTATTGCCTTCAAAGCCTTTGTAAATCTGCCTGAGAGGCAAGAAACTAACAGTCTACATAAAAATAAGTCAGATCTTTAACAGAGATGTGCATGAAAAACTCAAATTCTGAATCAAGACCAAAGTAGATGAGCAACTAGAACTTTCAGAGGGAGTTGACAGCTAAGAAAAAGAAGAAGATGTGATGTGTAAAAGGTGATTCATAAAACATGACAAATGTCAGTGTTGTCTTTTGTAACTCAGAGGTTATTAACTGCAAATAGTTACGGCATCTTCCATTTCTATAAGTACAGGTTTGGTTTCTTTTTTTAATCCTCTAATTTGGTTAAGTACTGAAATATCATCTTGCTATGTAGAAAGCAAACATGTTGATTCATTAATCACACCATTTTTGGACATATAAGTAAACATTTAAAAAATTAAAGAGATAATTAAACAAGTGACTATAGAATGGATTTATCAAGAAGCTTGATGGCCAGCCAATGGGCTGAACCAATGGTGATTTTCAAATTATAGTCTATCTTTATAATTTCCAACCTTAGAGAGATCTTTAACATGTTAACACAATACTTTCCTTTTCTTCTTCTTCTTCTTTTTCTTCAGCTTCTTCATCTCCACCTCCTCCTCCTTTTTCTTCTTCTTCTTCTTCTTTTTCTCCTCCTCCTCCTTTTCCTTCTTTTTCTTCTCCTCCTCTTTCTTCTTCTTCTTCTGCTTCTTCTTGTTTGTCTTCTTTTTCTGTTTCTTCTTCTTCTTTTCCTCCTCTTCCTTCTTCTTCTAAAAGTAGAGGGTCTCCGTGATGAAATGGTCTAGCCATCTGCCTTGTGCTCTGAAGGTCGTGAGTTTGTTTCACAACTGTGTTGTTTGGTTCATGCTTTTAATTTCTACAGAGATCCCTGGGTATCATCGCCAGAGCTGCACTGTCAGCACGTAACTTGCTGTTCTGCGGAGAGACCGAGCAATGTAGGTGCAATGAAGACAATCCCCTTTACTCTAACCTTTAACCTTCTTCTTCATCTCTGCATTCGCCCATAAAGGGGCTGTTGGCAAACAATGTTATGGTTTACAGCTAGACTGTCTTTTGGCCGAAAACATTAAATTTCAGCAAACTCTTGATCATTCACCTTTAGGATTTTCTGCATGTGTTCACAGCCAGAGAGTGCATAACAACAACTTTTACACAAACAGATCATTAGCCATTTCTCTGTTAATTCTTTTTCTCACCTACGCACATAATATTTAGTTTTCCTTCTTCTTAGCGCTGACACGCTGTGTAAACTCTGGGGTGGAAAGTTCTGGTTGTTTGTCCACTCATGGACTTTTGTCTTGATCTAGAACTTAAATTTTGCCTGCACATCTGTACTACAGATCCGGCTTATTTTAAGCAGACTGTTGGTTTCTTGCCCTTTCGGGCAGATGCACTCCAATGTTGAAGGAAACACCCCTAATTAATCAACCCCTATGACATGTTTGTTGGAGAGGGGGAGGAGGGCAGTGAGTCTTTTATTTTTTTCCTCCTAAATCTCACAGGCGGAATTATATTTAGTTCATTTTTTGTAATAATATAATGTATTTCTACCTCACCAACATATGAGAAAAACCAATACTTTTTGATGCAAAAAGAAAGCAACATAAACAAAAAAAAAGTGAAATAAGGTCTTCCTTACCTTCTCTACACTGCTTCTCATTCTTTTTTGTAATCAGTAAATAGCGAGGGCTTTCTGGGCAGAATGGCAGGATCAAGGCTTGTACTAAGCAAGGTGCAATAGTCATACCTAGAACATATTTGTTTCTATTAGACATGTTGATTTATTTGAAGTCAAGATTCTGGTAAACAGAACAAAAATAAAAAGACAGAAAGTAACTGCAGATACACAGAAAAGAAAGAATCATCATCATGTGCTATGTTACTAAATAAATGGTGTTCATAGCCTTGCCATCGGAAACGATAACAAGAATCACAGAACAGATCTGTATGTTTGTATCGACTCATACCATGTAACCATTCCCATCAAGTATTTATTTATATCTGCCTTCACCAGCTCTTCTTTTTTTTCTCCAAATCTGCCAGACATCATCAAATTTTAAAATGCATTTGTCATGATTTGAAAAAGAAAAAAAAATTAATATCTGCTGCTTATGCATAATTTCTTTAATCAGAATATGATTTCCACCTGTGTCTTGGATAACTGCCTCATTTGTTTTTTAAGAGTACTGCAGTTTTCAAGAAAGTACTTACCTAATAGTCAAAAATGAGATGGTGACAAACAGTCTTTGGTCATGTGATGAGAAAAGGAGCACTGGAAAATATCGTGACAACAGAAAGGATCAGTGGTAGAAGAGGCAGAGGCAGACCAAGTGAAATGATGGTGGATGACTTAAGACAGTGGCATGGAGGAATATCATCAGTGGATTTGATCCAGAACACCAAAGACCGAGATCTGTGGAGATGCATGAATGCTTATGCCAGCTGGCAAGGCACTTGACGATGACTTACCTAGCAGAATGTTCCAGTACTCAGATGTCCCAAGCAGCTCTGGGAATCCCAGGATCTGTGAGACCAGCAATGCAGCAGTGATTGCCACCTGGTGTAACACACCAATCCCTCCCCGGATGCTCGGGGTACTGATTTCAGACAGGTAGAGGGGGCTGAGACCAGTGTACAGACCTTGGGGTTCAAACATTGTCTTCATATTAAAACATTACTTCAATATTAGATCACTGCTTCAGTATTGGAAACATTACTTCCATATTAGATCATCGCTTCAAGATTAGATCCTTGCTTCAATATTTAATTATTATTGCAATTTTAAATCATTACTTACATGTTGAATCATTACTTCAATATTAGAGCCTTACTTCAATATTAGATCAAATAGAGCAGCTATAGGCCAGAATAATTTAGGTGTTTCGCATATGCTGGACACACCCTCGATAGATAACTCTTACGACTGAAATGAGAGGCTACAGTGTTACTTTTCATGACCATCCATTTTTCAGTTGTGGCTTATTTGTATGCACACTGCTGGTTCCTTACTTCTCAAGCTAATATATGATCACTTTTTCAAAAGTGGCACTAGCTAAAGATACCATCGGGATGGCAGCCTCAGTCGAGCAAATACACAGCGGGCACGAATGGGTTGACAAGAATACAAAAAACAGCAGTTTTCATCAAGTCATTATCACAATGGGAAGAGAATGTAGAGACTAGTTTAGTGGTATTTCAGAGGTAAAACAACAAATAGATCAAAACTCTGGGTTAGAGGATACAACAGTGTACACTGATGGTTCTGTTCATCAGGGTAAAAGATCCGGCTGGGAATTTTCAGCTAGCATCAAGGAAAAGATATGTGGCAGAACAAAATGGTGCTTTTTATCTACAACTTCATGCATGAGGATGGATGTAGAAGCAATCACTCCAGCTCTGAGATGGACAGCAGAAAACAGAGTTACCAGAGGAATATTGTCTGATTCTCAGTCTGTACTGTGGAAGGTTCAAAATGGACAACTGTGGCATGAGTACCAAGTATCAGCACATCAACATTACAGGGGCTCACGTGGATATACTGTCCATGATATGCAGGAGTGCGAGGGAATGAAAGAGGATTTTCTTTCTACAAAAGTGATAGCTACAAGAATGCTACAAGTATGCTCATACTGCACATTAAGTTAGTGTAATATGATGTCAATTCTTAATCAGTAACCAGTGCAACGTTATTGCCATTTCAGTATTACAACATCATTTCAGTATCTTCTTTTTCTTTGAGTTCACCAGCTTCTAACTATCGTGAAAAGTTCTGGTTATTTATCCACTTCTAGACTTTAGTCTTGTTCCAGAACTTGAGTTTTGCATCTATATCCATTGTACCTATCTGACTTTTTGTTATGCAGACTGCTGGTTCCTTGCCTCTCAGGCAGTTATAAGATCACTATTCCAGTTAGAACACTAATTCAATATCCAAACACTAAAAGCTATACAGATTTTTTTTTTTTTCTTTTTTTTTCAGGTACATGATACAGGGATCTCTGTAAGTAAATTGTTAAGCCACTGCCTTTTCATATGAAGGTCCCTGGTTCATTTAACAGATTGTGTCATTTGTTTCATAAGTGTCATTTTTACAAAGATCCTTGATATCATCACTGGATATTTGGAGTTTGTGCTTTGTGCTTTCTCTCGGCAGGCACCTAGCATTCTGCATAGAAAGACTGTGCCAAATAAAGCATAATGAAGTCACGACTGGAAACTTTTAAGAAATATTTATTAAACAGAAATGTAGTTAGTCAGACAGCAGTCTTCTTCACTACACCAAAATTATGCCTGTAGCGGTTTTGACTCCTCAGGGCATAGAAAAAAAGATACTCCAATCAATTCCTACTAGGTACAGTGAGTATGGAGACCCTGAGATGGCTGTTGCATCAGAGGACACAGCATGAGTCGGTCTGACCAATCTTGATATGGATAACAAGTAACAAGTATCTAACTTCTTCTTCTTCTTCTTCTTCTTCTTCTCTTCCACCTTGTACCCAACGAAGTGTCGGAGAGGGGGAGATGTAGCATTCACTGATGAGCTCATTTCCGTAAGGCTGTTCTTAATGCCATCACTCCATATTTTTCTAGGTCTTTCGCTCACTCTATACTCATTGTAACATTTCAGTGTGGCTCCCTGTGGCAGATTATATTTCAGGAACATTTGTATATCTAAGTATCTAACTTCATCCTTTCAACCTATTGCTTCTGCAGTCTGGTCAAGATTGTAGACTGACAGTTATCACTCAAGTCATGTAAGCTCACTACTTTTCTTAGAACACACAGTATGAGAGGCTTCCCATTGCTCGTTGAGCATCTACAGAAGCCATTCCTGCAAATATATTAGCTTGTTCATTTTTTATTATTTTCCCTGGCCCTAAAAATGAAAAGGAATTTTGTCAGTTGTGACTTTTCTTAAGGACTCCAGACATGGTCTTTTATCCCATCCTGATCTTTCTGAGAATACTCATTGTGCAACAGAGATGACAAACAGAAGACACACAAAAGGTAGACAGAAAGTATACAGAAGACAAACATAAGGAATTAAGAGGGCACCCAGAAGGCGTACATAACCCTTAAGAAGACATACAGAAGGCATACAGAAGACATGTAAAAAGCCTTTAGAAGGCATATAGAAAACATATAGATGGCATATAGAAAGCACAGATAATTTATTCAGAAATGCAAACACAGATGAACTTACCACAGTGGAAACCGATGCATATTCTCCCAATAATGATCATTTCATAGGAGCCAGCTGTTCGACTGACAAACAGAAGGATGGATGACACAACACCAAAAATGATGTTCAGCAAGGATCCACCTTTCCTGTTAGTAAAGAAAAATATCCAACAGAGAAATCATAACTGTTTGATTCACTTAATGTCTACATTGGTATCCTTTATGAGTCCGCATATTCAACATCTGTTCTCTGCTTCCTGACCCCTACCTGAAGATTTCACCACCCCTGTGGCTTCAAGAGTCTCATCCTGCATGCCATCAGGCAAATTTTAGATTCACAAATTCCAGATATGTAAATTCCAAATACGCAAATTCCAGATTCCCTATTCTAGAAGCCCCGTTAAACCTGCTGAGAACATATATTAGGGTAACTGTGATAGCATAGTTAAGTGGTGTACCCTGCATTATGTCTGGGTAAATCCAGCAACCAAGCCACCCAAGAAGCCTAAGACAAATATAGAAAACCATGTCACTGGGCTACAGCCTGGTATCAGTGAGATGACAAAACCATGACACTGGGCTACAGCCTGGTATCAGTGAGATGACAAAACCATGACAATGGGCTACAACCTGGTATCAGTGAGACAATAAAACCATGACACTGGACTACAGCCTGGTATCAGTGAGATGACACAACCACGACACTGGGCTACAACCTGGTATCAGTGAGATGACAAAACCATGACACTGGGCTACAGCCTGGTATCAGTGAGATGACAAAACAATGACAATGGGCTACAACCTGGTATCAGTGAGATGACAAAACAATGACACTGGGCTACAACCTGGTATCAGTGAGATGACAAAACAATGACAATGGGCTACAACCTGGTATCAGTGAGATGACACAACCACGACACTGGGCTACAACCTGGTATCAGTGAGATGACACAACCACGACATTGGACTACAACCTGGTATCAGTAAGACGACAAAACCATGACACTGGGCTACAACCTGGTATCAGTGAGATGACACAACCACGACACTGGACTACAACCTGGTATCAGTAAGACGACAAAACCATGACACTGGTCTACAGCCTGGTATCAGTAAGACGACAAAACCATGACACTGGGCTACAACCTGGTATCAGTGAGATGACAAAACAATGACAATGGGCTACAACCTGGTATCAGTGAGATGACACAACCACGACACTGGGCTACAACCTGGTATCAGTGAGATGACACAAAAACGACATTGGACTACAACCTGGTATCAGTAAGACGACAAAACCATGACACTGGGCTACAACCTGGTATCAGTGAGATGACACAACCACGACACTGGACTACAACCTGGTATCAGTAAGACGACAAAACCATGACACTGGTCTACAGCCTGGTATCAGTAAGACGACAAAACCATGACACTGGGCTACAACCTGGTATCAGTGAGATGACAAAACAATGACAATGGGCTACAACCTGGTATCAGTGAGATGACACAACCACGACACTGGGCTACAACCTGGTATCAGTGAGATGACACAACCACGACATTGGACTACAACCTGGTATCAGTAAGACGACAAAACCATGACACTGGGCTACAACCTGGTATCAGTGAGATGACACAACCACGACACTGGACTACAACCTGGTATCAGTAAGACGACAAAACCATGACACTGGTCTACAGCCTGGTATCAGTAAGACGACAAAACCATGACACTGGGCTACAACCTGGTATCAGTGAGATGACAAAACAATGACAATGGGCTACAACCTGGTATCAGTGAGATGACACAACCACGACACTGGGCTACAACCTGGTATCAGTGAGATGACAAAACCACAACACTGGGCTACAACCTGGTATTAGTAAGACGACAAAACCATGACACTGGGCTACAGCCTGGTATCAGTGAGACAACAAAACCATGACACTGGGCTATAGCCTGGTATCAGTGAGACGACAAAACCACGACACTGGGCTAAAGCCTGGTATTAGTAAGACGACAAAACCATGACACTGGGCTACAGCCTGGTATCAGTGAGACGACAAAACCATGACACTGGGCTACAACATGGTATCAGTAAGACGACAAAACCATGACACTGGGCTACAAACTGGTATCAGTGAGATGACAAAACCACCACACTGGGCTACAGCCTGGTATCAGTGAGACGACAAAACCATGACACTAGGCTACAGCCTGGTATCAGTGAGGCAACAAAACCATGACACTGGGCTACAGCCTAGTATCAGTGAGACGACAAAACCATGACACTGGGCTATAGCCTGGTATCAATGAGACGACAAAACCATGACACTGGGCTATAACCTGGTATCAGTGAGACAACAAAACCATGACACTAGGCTACAACCTAGTATCAGTGAGATGACAAAACCACGACACTAGGCTATAGCCTGGTATCAGCGAGACAAAAAAACCATGACACTGGACTACAACCTGGTATCAGTAAGACAACAGAACCATGACAATAGGCTACAGCCTGGTATCAGCGAGACAAAAAAACCATGACACTGGACTACAACCTGGTATTAGTGAGACAACAGAAGCATGACAATACGCTACAGCCTGGTATCAGTGAGACAACAAAACCATGACACTGGACTACAACCTGGTATCAGTGAGACAACAGAACCATGACACTGGACTACAACCTGGTATCAGTGAGACAACAAAACCATGACACTGGACTACAGCCTGGTATCAGTGAGACAACAGAACCATGACACTGGGCTACAACCTGGTATCAGTGAGACAACAGAACCATGACACTGGACTACAACCTGGTATCAGTGAGACAACAAAACCATGACACTGGGCTACAACCTGGTATCAGTGAGACAACAAAACCATGACACTGGGCTACAACCTGGTATCAGTGAGACAACAAAACCATGACACTGGACTACAACCTGGTATCAGTGAGACAACAGAACCATGACACTGGACTACAACCTGGTATCAGTGAGACAACAAAACCATGACACTGGACTACAACCTGGTATCAGTGAGACAACAGAACCATGACACTGGACTACAACCTGGTATCAGTGAGGTGACAAAAAAAAGAAGCAGGGGAGTGATTCCAGGTGCAAGTCATTTGGCAGCAGACCACCTTGCATTGACTTCAATAAGGGTATCGACAGCTGATCATTCAGCAAGAATGTTGAATGTTAAATTAAGAATCAACATCACAAAACTAGGGACACTCCCATAAGCGCTCTGTCCCCATCTTCAGCAGCAAGTGAAGAGTTCCAATTTCAATGACACCAGTAACTGTCTGATTGTATATCCATCTTTGCCTCAAGTGTTGAACATCGGCCAGATCCTCTGGTAACTCCTCACAGCACTATTCTTCTCAGACCATATTGATCTGCTTGTACCCCCTCACCGTTCACTTGCTCCCAAAGGACCCTCACAGTATCTAGCTTGTCATTAAGAAATGGTAAACCATTGAATGTAATAATGACCTAAAGTTAAAGTAAAGGTCTCTTTTCCATGCCTTTAGGTATAGAGGGCATATAGGGCTAGACCTATATTTTTTATAGACCAATCGGCACAAGATGGGTGATGTGGTCAGCATCACACAGGCCGTCTTTACTTCCTGGGACTGCACCCGGGACTGCACCCGGGACTGCACCAAAGACTGCACCCGGTACCCACTCAAGGCTGGATCGACCTGTGAGTCTAGGTAATTTTTTTTTTTTAAGTTCAGCTCCACCAGGAAGTGAACTCACGACCTTCCAAAATGAACGCGAGCATCTAGTCGCTAGGCCATAGTGACTCTCAAAAATGACCTATTAAAACCAAAAACAGCTAACAAGTGCTGGGTTTGCGTCTGTAACATCCTGTCAAGGTCGTGCAACTAACTTTCTTAAAGAGCATTGTACTGAGTTCACTTGGAAACCTTTACCAATTTTTTGGAATCCTCCTTTTCATGTGGATCCGAACTAATAATCCCTGCATCCACAGCAAGCATGCCATGACGACACACATACTTTGTTTTTGTCCAGATTTTTTTTGTTTTTTTGTTTTACATTACTACTGCACTACTATGGCTTAATATGTACTTGCGTAAATTATGGATGCTTGATATCCTTAGTAATTCACATAAGTCTTTGAGACGGATAAGAATATTTCTAGACCCTACTGCGTTTTTGCTTGAAGGATTGATACATGAATTTTATGTTTCTGTAAAACTTTTAGTGAGATCATATGATGTACTTTAGTTTACTCAGAGTACCAATGAAAGTCATTCCACGTTTCACACCTGGTGCATGGGTTGCTAATAACTATTATATAGAACAATAAGCATACGTTTTACTTTCATGCTTAAGCCACATCCCATAAAAGAACTTTGTTCGTTCTTTCAGTATTTTTGTGGTCTTTAAAATTAATTCCCTTAACTGTTTTGTACATTGAACATGGCTGCTGATGTGCTTCAGTGCCTATAATCTGGAGTATTAATACGACTTTGTAAGATATTTAAAGCTTCAGAAACATCCATGGCAGAGTGAATTTCTACATCCTTTGATGTTAACTGCTAAATGTTCGTTTGTCACTTAGTCATTTGGAAATGTGTCATGCCTCAGAGATGACTGAAATGTTGCAATGTGTGAACAGCAGAGTTGTCTCAGAACAAATTGGGCTTTCCTAGTTACTTTAACATGAGCTGTGGTGGCATAGAAGTTAGGGCCCATACCTACCAAGACAGTGCTCCAGATTCAAATCAACAGACGTAGTAGGATTTCTGCTGACCTGTATGACTTGTGGGTGGATCTAGATTTCTAAAACTTAGTACCAGGTAATTATCAGAATTTTCTGAAATTTTTGGGGTAGAAAAGGCAACAGAGAAAGGAAAACTCTGTTACAGGAACTGCTGCTACTGCTGTTGTTACTACTGCTACTACTACTGCTATTGTTGCTAGGGGCCGCATTAGCGCAGTCTATAGAAGACTCGCTTTCAAATCCACCTGCGACTCGCTGCAGCCCACGGCTGGTATTTGAAGCCAGGCAGTTCCCGGGGTTCACCAAGCCTCTAGGAAATGGGTACCAGAGTCAACACTCAGGGGTAAATGGAGGAACATCGCCCTAGCTACAGAGTTGCATGCGGACAGCAACACAGGCGGACAGTTTCTTATCATTTGTCCATGCTGGTGGCAGAGCACTCATGGTTTATAACCGTGTGCTGGTTCACATCTCCTGACTGTTTTTGCTATTGTTGCTACTACTACTTCTATTATTGCTACTGCTATTGTTGCTACTACTTTTACTATTATTGCTACTGCTATTTTTGCTACTACTAACGCCGCTGTTACTGCAGCTACTGCTACTGCTGCTGCTACTACTGCTGTTACAACTACTGTTATGACTACCATTACTGCTGCCATTACTACTGCTGTTACTGCTGCTATCACTGCTACTACTACTTCTGTTGCTATTGCTATTTTGCTACTGTCACTACTAGTGCTGTCATTGCTACTACTACTACTACTACTGTCATTACTGCTGCTACTACTACTGCTGTTGCTAATGCTGCTGTTATTGCTAGTACTGTTACTACTATTATTATTGTTATTACTACCACTGCTACTGTTACTCCTTCTGCTGCTCTTGCTACTGCTATTACAGCTACTACTACTACTGTTATAACTACTGTTATAACTACTGTTTCTAATGATGCTGCTACTACTGCTGTTGCTGCTACAACTACTGTTACTGCTACCACTACTGTTGTTGCTGCTGCAGCTACTGCGACTGCTGCCACTACTACTATTGTTACTGCTGAAATTACTACTGCTAATACTACTGCTGTTGTAACAGAGTCCCTACCTAAATTGTGTTTCATTGTTGGGCTGTTGAAACAACAGGCCCGTCCTGGCCTTCACCCTTGTTTTCGGAACCTTTTCACTAAGCTTAGTGACCGACTAAAAGTATATGGTGTCCTTGGCCTGAGATTCTAGAGACTACAAGCGGTTTGGCTAGACGTCACGTGACCCTCTCTCAAAGTACACGAAAATAATATGTTGTCAACATTTTTGGAATTATTATCCTAAACACATATTTTAGAAACGCAGTAGTGGTTTGAAAAACATGTTGCTGGAAGGTTCTAGAAGCAGGCTAGTGGCACCTATATAAGCGAGTGCCTGGACCTCTCAGCTCAGAGGGAGGGCAGGCCAAAGTAGAATAGAAGTAGTGGGCAGGAGACTTAACGTCCATAGATAAATGTTAGGGGCTGAGTCAATATACATATTTTAATATACAGTTGTTAGCGTTGTTGCGAAGGTTGACACTTTCTCTTGTAAAATTCAAACTTAAATAAAGGAACTTTTGTACTACAAGAAAATTTTAATGTTGTCACTAAAAATATACATTAGGCGACGTAGAGTTTTGTATGATCTGATGATTGTGATGATAGATGATCAAGGACGAGAGCAAGTATATCGTTTAAGTCGAGTCGATTTTGGAGTCATCTCTCAGCCTCCACTGGAACTGGGACTGGAGGAGGATTAGGGTGTGGATACAGAGGAGAAGGTCAGTGAAGAGGAGGAAGAAGAAGGAGAACAACAGTAATGAACCACACCTCCCGACCAAGCCTTATTGGGATATTTCTTTTTAAATTGTGTGTCTAAGTTGCCAGATTAACCCAGGAGAGGGACCTTATGCCCACTGGCTGACTGCACTTGCACCACAGTGGAATTTCAGAGAAAGAAGAAGATAAATGTAGACTCTGTTTCACTGTTGCTACTGCTATTATTGCTAATGATACTACTAGTGTTGTCATTGCTACTACCACTGCTGCTTCTACTGCTTCTATTACTGCTGCTACTGCTACTGTGTTACTGCTGCTACATCTACTGTTGTTGCTGCTGCTATTACGCTTCTACCATAGGTGCTGATCTCCCCACAAAAATGTTTAGGCAGCAGAGCCCCACCATGCACACTCATTTGTTTTTTATAACGTTTGTTCAAATATATCATTATATTTTTTTGTCCATCAGCATACAGTAACCATTATTATTATTGCATAATTAAACAAGGCTCTAATCCCTTAAGCCTCTCTTCCCCTCCCCATCCTTCAGAACAGCAGTTCTCAACCTATGGATCGCGACATTTTTGTAGGTCGAACGATCTTTTCAAAATGGTCACAACAAACCATCGGAAAACATATTCATTGAATTCAGTTATAAAGTAGCAATGAAAATAACTGTATGGCCGGGGTTGCCACAACATGAGGAGGTGCATCAAAGGGTCGCGGCTTTATGAAGGTTGAGAACCTTTGCTCTAGAAAATTATGAAGGCTGAGGTCCCCCCCACCCCCCTCCTTCCCCCCTCCCCACCCCGCAAATCAATGTTTTCTTTGTGGTGGCACACGTCTGTAAACTACTATGGCTACTTCTGTTGATGCTACTACTTCTACAGTTATCACCAATATTATTCCTATGAACTACTATTACTGCTGCAGCTAACACTACTACTACAACTACTTCTACTAAAAATACTTTTACTACAACTTCTACTAACAACTTTTATGACCACCACCAAAATCACCCCCACTACTGCCTACAGATTTGAACCCGGCCATAAATAGTTCTGTCATAAAGTTGTACTGAAAAAAGATGGACATTTCTGAATTCACACCCTCAAGGAAATAGCTGCTAAACTAGTGAATCTTTCAGGTCAAGTATGTGAACACTGACAGATGAATCCCTGCAGTCTGTCAGAACCCTTCATATTAATCCTCTGTTTATCCTTGACCAGTGTTTTTTAAAAGTTGCATCAAAAAAAAGCCACAAATAAAGATTGATGATAGGTTAATCTGTGTTGGGATTTTAATATTATTTGCTTGCTTCAGGCTATAAGAAATAAAAACTATTACGAAAACTAATATATTTTTGTGAAGATTTAATTTATAGTGATTTTAAATATGTTTTGGTTTTTTTAGATACATTTTTATAGCAAACATCTTTGTGTTGGCCATGAAACTGGTTTATAGATTTAATGTTTTTATTGTATCTCATAATAACTGTATTTCTCTTAGATCTTTCCTTATATATATATATATATATAAATATATATTCCCCGTGTGGGTTCCGGGGCCCCATTGTGGGGAAAACAAGAATAGACCCACTGCCTCCCCAAAAGCATGTTGTAAGAGTCGACTAATTGGGGAGCTTCCTTTGAAGTCAGAGTGCATCTGCCGGAGAGGCAAGGAACCAACAGTCTGTATTCAAGAGAATGAGATCTGTAAAACTGATGCACACGCAACACTCAGGTTCTGGAGCAGGACTGCAGTTCAGTAGTGGACGAGCAACCAGAACTTTCCGCCAGAGTGTACAGCTGGTGAACATGAAGAAGAAGAAGATATATATATATACACACACACACACATATATATAAAATGAAGGTAATTCCATTCCAGATACTTCTGTAAGGATGTAAAATATTAACCCTTCACATATTTTGGGCCATGCCATATGAGATAAGGTGATCAGTTCCCTTCATCAGTTTGTAAATATGCAGGTAAAGATGGATAACTCGGTAAGTAAGATAGGTTTATTTGTAAATTAAAGAGTGAATAAAAGAGTTAAATGGTGTTCCGAGAAGCTAAGACAAATATAAATATGACCCACTCACCTGCCAAATCTGGTTGCCCACCATCCAGCCAGAAAGCCACCAATGCAGCCGCCAACAGCAAAGATGGCCACTGTCAGTGCCCACAAGTTTCGAATGGACTGGTCAGACATGTGGGACCCATCTCTGTCTGCTTGTGTCTCATTCATGAAAGCCTTGATCAGCTGTGGAACAGACGAAAGATGTAGGGGACAATTAGGCTGACTGTGAGCTGAACGTTGTTGTGTGGTAGACTTTGAGGGATGTTGTAAGGAATGATTAGGCTGATTGGGAGCTAAAGGCAGTTGTGTAGCAGACTCTGAGGGATGTTGTAGAGCTAAAGCTTTGTGGAAAACTTAGAGTAAGCTTATTGTATACAACTCAGTAGTCATCCTGAAGCTTATATTTAGAGTTGAATGTCAGTGATAAAGCTGGAGCTCAATTACAAAGTTAGAGCTTGATGGCAGATATAGGCTTAATGATATTCTTAAAGCTCAGTTATGGAGTTAAGCCCTATAGAAGGGTTTGATATTTGGCCTTAAAAGGATGGTTTGGCATGTTGTGTTGTGGTATACAGCAAGGCTATGATATATGCTCCTATTGGCCCAACACATCCAATTTCTGAAAACCCCTAAGTAGTTGCTTTTTATGACACCTTTGGGAAAGGGGGTGGGAGCGGAACAGTAGGTATATTTTTTTTTTCTACCAAAACTGGGGCCCTCGAACCCACACAGTGAACTGGAAGAGTTGAAAGCTCAACAGTAGAGATGAGCATAGTGCTAGAGATGAGCACAGTGCTAGTGATGAACACAGTAGTAGAGATGAGCACAGTGCTAGAGAAGAGCACAGTGCTAGAGATGAGCACAGTGCTAGAGATGAGCACAGTGCTAGAGATGAGCACACTGCTAGAGATGAGCACAGTGCTTGAGGTGAACACAGTGCTTGAGGTGAACACAGTGCTTGAGGTGAGCACAGTGCTAAAGATGAGCACAGTGCTAGAGAAGAGCACAGTGCTAGAGAAGAGCACAGTGCTAGAGATGAGCACAGTGCTAGAGATGAGCACAGTGCTAGAGATGAGCACAATGCTAGAGATGAGCACAGTGCTAGAGATGAGCACAGTGCTAGAGAAGAGCACAGTGCTAGAGATGAGCACAATGCTAGAGATGAGCACAATGCTAGAGATGAGCACAGTGCTAGAGAAGAGCACAGTGCTAGAGAAGAGCACAGTGCTAGAGAAGAGCACAATGCTAGAGATGAGCACAATGCTAGAGATGAGCACAGTGCTAGAGATGAGCACAGTGCTAGAGATGAGCACAGTGCTAGAGATGAGCACACTGCTAGAGATGAGCACAGTGCTTGAGGTGAACACAGTGCTTGAGGTGAGCACAGTGCTAAAGATGAGCACAGTGCTAGAGAAAAGCACAGTGCTAGAGAAGAGCACAGTGCTAGAGATGAGCACAGTGCTAGAGATGAGCACAATGCTAGAGATGAGCACAATGCTAGAGATGAGCACAGTGCTAGAGATGAGCACAGTGCTAGAGAAGAGCACAGTGCTAGAGAAGAGCACAGTGCTAGAGATGAGCACAGTGCTAGAGATGAGCACAATGCTAGAGATGAGCACAGTGCTAGAGATGAGCACAGTGCTAGAGAAGAGCACAGTGCTAGAGAAGAGCACAGTGCTAGAGATTAGCACAGTGCTAGAGATGAGCACAGTGCTAGAGATGAGCACAATGCTAGAGATGAGCACAGTGCTAGAGATGAGCACAATGCTAGAGATGAGCACAATGCTAGAGATGAGCACAGTGCTAGAGATGAGCACAGTGCTAGAGATGAGCACAGTGCTAGAGATGAACACAGTGCTAGAGAAGAGCAAAGTGCTAGAGATGAGCACAGTGCTAAAGATGAGCACAGTGCTAGAGATGAGCACAGTGCTAGACATATAGCTTATAATAGGTAACAGTAGAACAGTCCTGTACTTTCCGTTTTTTTAGCCCTGAAAAAAACAGATTAAAATCTTTCCCAGGTTTTGCCAACAGAAGGAAAATACTGCTGCTGTTTAGAAGTGGAGGAATGGGAGGTGGGCAGCACCCTTACACATTTTCTAGGGGTAGGGGCTCAAGATTTGTGTAAGTGTGTTATAAATAAAAAGTGCTAAATATCAAATAAATCGTCTTCTTCTTCTTCAGCATTCCGAACCCTTGAGGTTAATTGCTGCAGATATCACCCGCTTACATTCATCTCTCTGGTTGGCCTTTCTTTCCAGTTGATGACACCAAGTGTTTGCATGCCTGCCTGGACATTATCTCTCCATCATCTTCTTAGTCTGCCTCGTAGTCTATGACCATTCATTTCGCTTGTGTATACAGTTTTTACTTCTCTGTCGTCTGACATTCTTTCAATGTGCACCAACCATTTCAGTCTATTAGCTCTCATGATGTAAGTGATCAAAAGTGATTTAAACAGATTATGTTGCTTTTCACTCTCCATTCCCCGCTGTTTGCATCTTTGATATGTATCAAATAAATATTTGAAAAAAATATGAAATATATAAAAACATGCTGAAAAAAAGAGAACTTCTGTAAACTGTTATTAGACTCGCTTAGCAACTAACGCATTGTCGGGAGGGAAGGCTGAAGGTGCCCGAGCACATTGGTTCCAATGTCCATGGCACACAGCTGGGGTTGTCAGTAAGGTTTCAAAGTGTGTTATTTGCTTCTAGCTGATGAATTTTCCCCATTTCTGAACAAGAAGTCTGAAATTTTCATTGCCCAGCTACATTGCCACCTTTTGATCTGTGATTGTCTCGGGTCATTAGCCGTTGCTCTTTCATGCCATACTAAAAGGCCGTCGAGTATCTTCTCATGTTGTCTTCTTCGCAGTAATTTCTAAAGACAAATAAAAAGACTGTTTCTTCTTGCCTTCTTCAAGTTTGTGTATGGTGTGACTCCAACATCCGCTTACCCTACAAGGCACCTCTTACGCGCTGATGGTAACGTCACAGCGTTTGAAGGTATTTTAAAGAGCTAGCTGTTTCACAGCTAATTCAGCTCCTCTCACTGACAATGAGAAAATGAGTTAAGAACAAATCATAAATAGCATGGAGATTACATTTACCGAAACAACAGAAAGATAACACATATAATGGCAAGAGAGTATATACAAAAATAGTATCATATACATTACTGATTCAGGGGCGTTAATCACTCCCACGTTGTACCCAAACTGAAAGGATCCCATGGCGGCTCCGATAATGGTGAGGATCAGTCGAGGGGTTACTCGCTGAAAAAAAAAAGGTGACCACATCAAGTTACGTGCAGTCTGTTCTTCTGTAGTAATGCACCTGACGAGTAGTCTGTGTATACGAAGATGTAGCACTTTGTGTATATAGAGATATGTACAAACTAACTACTACATAGAGAGATACGTACACACAAACCACTACACATTGAGATATGTACACACAAACCACTACATATAGATAGATATTTGTACACACAAACTATTACATGTAGAGATATGTACCCTCAATCTACTACATAGAGAGATATGCACACACAAACTGCTACATAGAGATGTGTACACACAAACCACTAAATATAGAGATATGTACACACAAACCACTAAATATAGAGATATGTACACACAAACTGCTACATACAGAGATGTGTACACACAATCCACTAAATATAGAGATATGTACACACAATCTACTACATAGAGAGATATGCACACACAAACTGCTACATACAGAGATGTGTACACACAAACCACTAAATATAGAGATATGTACACACAATCTACTACATAGAGAGATATGCACACACAAACCACTACATAGAGAGATATGCACACACAAACCACTACATATAGAGATGTGTACACACAAACCATTACATATAGAGATATGTACACACAATCTACTACACAGAGAGATATGCACACACAAACCACTACATATAGAGATGTGTACACACAAAGCATTACATATAGAGATATGTACACACAATCTACTACATAGAGAGATATGCACACACAAACCACTACATATATAGATATGTACACACAAACCATTACATATAGGGATATGTACACACAATCTACTACATAGAGAGATATGCACACACAAACCACTACATATAGAGATGTGTACACACAAACCATTACATATAGGGATATGTACACACAATCTACTACATAGAGAGATATGCACACACAAACCACTACATATAGAGATGTGTACACACAAACCATTACATATAGAGATATGTACACATAAACCGCTATATACAGAGATATTTACACACAAACCACTACCTGTAGAGATATGTACCCACAAACCACTACATATAGATAATTATATGTACCCACAAACCACTACATATAGATAATTATATGTACACACAAACCACTATATATAGATAATTATATGTACCCACAAACCACTACATGTAGAGATATGTACCCACAAACCACACCATATACATGCACACACAAACCACTACAGATAGAGATATGTACACACTAAACCACTACATACAGAGATATGTACACACAAACCACTACATTTAGATATATGTACACACAAACCACTACATGTAGAGATATGTACACACAAACCACTACATGTAGAGATATGTACAGATAAACCACTACAGATAGAGATATGTACACACAAACCACTACATGTTGAGATATGTACAGATAAACCACTACAGATAGAGATATGTACACACAAACCACTACATGTTGAGATATGTACAGATAAACCACTACATACAGAGATATGTACAAACAAACCACTACATATAGAGATAAGTACCCACAAACCACACCATATACATGCAACCCGAAACCACACCATATCCCTGCACACATAACCACTACATGGCTCTACCAGGGTCAGATTCAGACTTGATGAGGCCCCATGTTAATCAAGACCTGAGGCCCCTACAGTTTTTAATTACACCAGCTTATTTTAGAAAGCGTAAAATTATATGTAAAAAGTAAAAAGTCCCTTTTCCACGCCTTTAGACAAATAGGGCTAGACCTATATTTTTATAGAAAAATCGGCACAAGATGGGTGATGTGGTCAGCATCACGCCGGCCACCTTTAGTTCGCGGAACTGCACCCGGGAGTCCAGGTCATTTTTGAAAATAGTCCAGCTTCACCAGGGAGCGAACCCACGACCTTCCGATCTGCATGCGAGCGTCTAGCCGCTACGCCACGGCAACTCCCGTAATATTATATAGGCCTTTTTAAATTTAGGAATAATCGAAAAAAAAATTTTAAAGTTACGTTCAAGCCCACCTGGACCGCACAATGAGCGATAAACATCTAGCGACACAGTGTCACCATTCGTATGAGAATCACATGAGCACAAGTCCCAGACACCCCATTCAATCGTTAGGCTATATTAAGACTCACGACAACATCTGTGGTGGGGATCTTAAATAATAACAACTATTGCGTCCAACACTGGGGCGTCGTTAAACAAATAGAAATATATTGTTGTTAAAACCTGAAATAATATTCATAAAATTAGACAATTTAGTGAAACAATTAAAATCTGTTAAAATAAAACTGCATTAAAAATATATTAAAATAAAATTATATTTGTGTAACCAAAGAAAAAGAAGAACAAATTTGCAGAGGCCTTTGCAGACTGTGAAGCCCTAAGCTGCAGCTTGTTTACTATTTAACTTATACCTAAATCCACCACTAATCTCCACATCCGAACCACTACATTATCGCTTACACAGATCACTACATATCTCTGAATACACAGGTCAGTTGAGGGAACCCTTTACATGGCGTTGCAGAACCAACCACATCAATTGCTTTTCTGTTTGGTTTTACTGGCTAATTTTACCGTCAGTAGTTTGACAATGACATTTGCGTAGAAAAACCACAAGGGCCAAAAAATGCTGGGGTTGGTTCTGCAACGTCCTGTAAAGAATACACAACTAACTTTAAAGTTTGACACAGCTTACGGAATAGCCACCGCTCCATACCATTGTTAAAAAATTGCCTCATCGCCTACAACTCGAACTGAAACAGGTACTCCGGAATTACCCACTGTCTGTAGCACCGGAGTCACAGATGCCGACTACATATCTTTGTACACACAAACCTCTACACATCTTTGTACCCTAACCATGACAAGTGCATTGAGAACTGAAGTAACACACGTTCCGTGCAAACAGCTGGCTCCAGTACATAGCGTTGTTCATCACTGAACTAGAACAATTAACAAGGGACAGCCGGTCAATGTGTTGTGTCCATGAATAGACAAGCATCCCATGATTGATTTCACTCAGACGTACCACAGTTCAGTGTTTTCATCTTTTTCTTCTTCTTCTTCTTTTTCTTCTTCTTCCTCTTCTTCTTCTCCTCCTCCTTCTTCTTTCTTTCTTTCTTCCTTCCTTCTTTCCTTCCTTTCCTCCCTCCCTCCCTCCCCCTGCCTGCCTGCTTCTTCTTCTTCTTCTTCTTCTTCTTCTTCTTCTTCTTCCTCTTCTTCCGTGTTTGCCCTTGGAAGGGTGGATTGGCAGTGTGGCACGTCGTGTTTTGGCTTACAGCTAGGCTGCGCTATCTTTGACTCTGGGCTCAAGACATCCGATATTAATCAACATTTTATGACATGTTTGTTAAGAGGCAGTTGGTTTATTCACCCCCCCCCCCCCCCCCTTTTTTTTTTTTTCTCGCAAAACGGACAAGGAACCCATTCATTCATCAGGTAGCTGCCCCTTTGCAGAACGTCGTTCTCATCACGGTCTGGCTGAAAAAAAAACTCGGTCTCTCGCCAGCTCTCCCGCCCTATGTATTTGCATATTTAAGCAATCACTTATATGCTGTGCCCATCTTCGTATTGGTCGGCCCCTGCCTCTCCTTCCTGGTACACAAGGAACCCACATAGGGAAATTTAGTATCCATCTTTTCTTTAAGAGTTTGATGTAGATTTAATGGCATTATATACTACAAGTCTGTAGACAGTAATTCAATAAGCAAATGACCAATTACACACACAGCGAACGAACAAACGAAAAAATGAACAAACGAACGAACAAACTTTATTTTCAAAAGGGTTACAAATTGGGCACGCAGTCTGACATTCGGCCCTTCTAAGCACTCATTTTTCAGAAGACCAATGCCTGTTATCAATAATGCATGTTATGGATGTAAGGAGAGGGCAAAGAAGACTGATTCCCATCCATTATTTCGGAAGAATTGCACAAGAAAGAACGGAGTGGTGAAGTACAATAGTGCAAGCCACGTGTGGCATTTATGGCACAACAGGATGGTTGTGATGATGATGATGATGTTGATTATTTTAGACAATATTAAAAATCTGCCCCTGTGAGGATTTGAACCTAAAACCTTGGGGCCAGCAGGCAGTTATCTAGCCACTGGACTACTAAACTCATGATCTGTAGAGAGAGATAACATCAATGTTATCTAATCCTACTTATCTGGAGAACTCTATATAATCTTATTAAATCCCAAAGATAATATCTAAGGCGTTAGTGAAACGAGCCTACGGGCTGGAGAAAGACGGAAACGATAATTGTTAACAGACATTTATGATGATGTCTGGTGAATAATAATAAGGCAGGTAGAATGATTCAGCACTGAAAACAATGTTTTATACTTACTGTTTTAGACCGAGCTGCTTGTCCTTCAGTTTTCTCAGGTGTGTCTGTATCCATGTTCGTTCTCTGTTGCAGTTGTTGTCCTCTTTGGAGATCACGACTACCTGAGGGGATGTAAAGTTTTGAGTCAGTGAGAACGACAACACCAACTGTCACTGTCATATAGGCTGACGATGCTTCTTTCTGCACAGATTATAGGATTCTTACGGAACGGTTAAGATCGCTTGGCTTTCGTACTAAACATCCAGGTTCGAATCCTCGGTACGGTTGTGAGTAATTTTCTGTCAGGCAAAAGTATAATCCTAACCTGCACAGTGAGTAGCGACTGCATTAGCCATGCAGTCCTAAATCATCAAACTCGAAGACCACCCCTTCCCTTCTCCCCATCCCCCAACCTTGTTCCTATAGGCGTCAGTACCTCGGGAAGGGAGAGACTCCGACTCCTTATTGGTTCATTGTTAGACTCTTGCATGATCTTTGTCTTCGTTTTGCTGATTGTTAGCCCAAATTCACACCAGGCATCGGCGAATAAAGACAGTAAACAGTGCAGTTCCTCCACTGAGTGTGTTGCAATTGCAGCCTCATCCCCAAAAAGCAACTCTCCAATGAGTCAGAACCTTTATAATCT